GAAAAATCTGTGATCCCAAAATTCGGAGCCAGATTTTACTGTGTGCAGTGGAGATTAAATTAATGAATTTTATAGCCCACAAATTAAATGAATTTTAAATAATTAATTATTATTTTTAAATATATTGAATACATGATAGATTTCATAAATTTAGATCTCATATGAATCTTCAACATCTATATAATAAAGTAGGATGGTTTTTGAATTTGTCCTACTAGGACATTTGGACGGTTCAGATCTATTCAAATTATAAAACAACGGCTGAGATATATTTTTCAAAAAATATCCTACATATATATTTTTCAAAAAATATCCTACATGTATATTTTTTATTTTTCCGTTTCTCTCTCTTACTTTTTCCTTTTCTCACACATCCTTCTATGATCCCATGATCCCACATTCCTCTTTCTTTTTTTTTTAATTTAATTTTTTGATTTTCTCTCATTTTTATTTTTTTCTCTATTTGTTTTTTTTTTCTCTTTTTTGTTCACATATTTTTATTCATATTATATGGAAAGGTCTGCGATCCCAGGATTAGAAGTCAGATTTTACTATGTGCAGTGAAGATTATATTAATAAAATTTTTAGTATACAAATTAAATGAATTTGAACAATTAATTATTATTTTTAAATATATTGAATACTTGATACACTTCGTAAATTTAGATTTCATATGAATCTTCAACATATTTTAATAAAGCAGAACGGTTTTTGAAACTTCAATATCTATATAATAAAGCAGGATGGTTTTTGAATTTGTCCTCCACACATTTGTCCTACTAGACATTTGGACGGCCCAGATCTATTCAAATTATAGAACAACGGCTGAGATATATTTTTCAAAAAATATCCTACATGTACATTTTCTATTTTCCCGCTTCTCTCTCTTACTTTTTCCTTTTCTCACCCATCCTTCTATGTTCTCATGATCCTACATTTCTCTCTTTTCTTTTTATTTTTTTTATTTTCTCTTATTTTTATTTTTCTCTCTCTTTGATTTTTTTATTTTCTCCTTTTTGTTCACTTATTTGTTATTCATATTATATGGAAAAGTCTGCAATCTCAAAATTAGGAACCAGATTTTACAGTGTGCAGTACAGATTAAATTAATGAATTTTATAGTCCACAAATTAAATGAATTTGAACAATTAATTATTATTTTTAAATATATTGAATACATGATAGATTTCATAAATTTAGATCTCATATGAATTTTCAACATCTATATAATAAAGTAGGATGTTTTTGAATTTGTCCTACACACATTTTTCTTACTGGGACATTTGGACGGCCCAGATCTATTCAAAATATAAAACAACGGCTGAGATATATTTTTCAAAAAATATCCTACATGTACATTTTCTATTTTCCCGTTTCTCTCTCTTACTTTTTTTCTTTTCTCACCCATCCTTCTATGATCTCATGATCCCATCTTCCTCTCTCTCTTTTTTTTTTTTATTTTTATTTTCTCATATTTTTATTTTTCTCTCTATTTTTTTTTCTCCTTTTTGTTCACTTATTTTTTATTCATATCATATGGAAAAGTCTGCGATCCCAAATTCGGAGCCAAATTTTACTGTGTGCAGTGGAGATTAAATTAATGAATTTTATAGTCCACAAATTAAATGAATTTAAATAATTAATTATTATTTTTAAATATATTGAATACATGATAGATTTCAGAAATTTAGATCTCGTATGAATCTTCAACATCTATATAATAAAGTATGATGGTTTTTGAATTTGTCCTACTAGAACATTTGGACAGTTTAGATCTATTCAAATTATAAAACAACGGCTGAGATATATTTTTCAAAAAATATCCTACATGTACATTTTTTATTTTCCCACTTCTCTCTTTTACTTTTTCCTTTTCTCACATATCCTTTTATGAACTCATGATCCCACATCCCTCTTTCTTTCTTTTTTTAATTTAATTTTTTGATTTTCTCTCATTTTTATTTTTCTCTCTATTTTTTTTTTTCTCTTTTTTGTTCACATATTTTTATTCATATTACATGGAAGGTCTGCGATCCCAAGATTAAGAGTCAGATTTTACTGTGTGTAGTGAAAATTATATTAATGAATTTTTTAGTCTACAAATTAAATGAATTTGAACAATTAATTATTATTTTTAAATATATTGAATACTTGATATACTTCGTAAATTTAGACTTCATATGAATCTTCAACATATTTTAATAAAGTAAGATGGTTTTTGAATCTTCAATATATTTAAATAAAGCAAGAAGGTTTTTGAATCTTCAACATATTTTTGTTCTATCAGGACATTTGGATGTCTAAGATTTGATCAAATTATAAAACAATGGCTAAGATATATTTTCCAAAAAATATTCTACATATACATTTTCTACTTTCCTGCTTCTCTCTCTCTTACTTTTTACTTTTCTCACACCCCTCCTTATATGATCCCATGATCCCATCTTCCTCTCCCTTTCCTTTTTATTTTTTTTTATTTTTTTCCGTTTTTATTTTTCTCTCTATTTTTTTTCTCTTTTTTATTCAATATATTTAACACATATTTTCATACAATGTATGTATGACCGTAATACACTAGGACATTACGGGCACACATACAATTTCCATATAATTACATAAGCAAAAGCAGTATTATATGTATGTCCTTGGAAATTGTATGTATGTTAGGCATATCTATCTATCTAGCTATTTATTAAATAAGTAAAAACGAGTTTTTGTAAGAAGTTTTGTGAAAATTCCAAAATTTATAATAAATTTGTGATTTTATCAAATTAAAAAATAAATTTAAATAGTGTTGAGATTACAATTATATTCTAATCCTAATCTTATTTACACCGTGCCTTCAGGCATGGGCATACGCTAGTATTTAAATAAAGCAGCACGGTTTTTGAATCTTCAACATATTTTTGTCCTATTAGGACATTTGGATGTCTCAGATCTGTTCAAATTATAAAACAATGGCTGAGATATATTTTTCAAAAAATATTCTACATATACATTTTCTACTATCCTGCTTCTCTCTCTCTTACTTTTTACTTTTCTCACACCCCTCCTTCTATGATCCAATGATCCCGTCTTCCTCTCCCTTTTCTTTTTATTTATTTATTTTTTGTTTTTATTTTTCTCTCTATTTTTTTTCTCTTTTTTGTTCAATATATTTTACACATATTTCCATACAATGTATGTATGACCGTAATACACTAGGACATTACGGGCATATATACAATTTTCATATAATTACATAAGCAAAAGCAGTATTGTATGTATGCCCTTAGAAATTGTATGTATGCTAGGCACATCTATCTATCTAGCTATTTATTAAATAAGTAAAAACGAGTTTTTGTGAGAAGTTTTGTGAGAACTCCAAAATTTTATAATAAATTTGTGATTTTATCAAATTAAAAAATAAATTTAAATAATGTTGAGATTACAAATATATTCTAATCCTAATCTTATTTACACCGTGCCTTCAGGCACGGACATACGCTAGTGTATTGATATCAAATAAAATAATTACCCACTCTCTTACCTAATAAATTTATTTAATTACGCTCATTCTCCCAATAGTATATATAATTCAAGAAAAATAATTTACAAACTTGATTTTATATGGAATTCATCATAAGAATAATATGACGAGGACATATTTTAATTTAGAGGTCATTCTAATAGGCTTGTAATTTTAAAATAAGAGGACCTAAATCTGTTGCATTATTCTAATTTAAAATTTTGTAAGCATTTTTTTTATTATTCTGAATTAATTTTTTTTATTATTTATTTATTTATTTATTTGGAGTTTGCATAACACCACTCATTTTTCAAACAAGAAACATGAGTGCTTGAATGGAGGTAAACAAATATTTTTTAGTCTAATAAATTATAGTATTATCATTTTTTATGTATTTGATTAACAGTATAAAGTGAAAAAGTACATTATAGCTTATTTTGAAAAGTTTGTTAAAAATTGACTTCTTAATTTTTTTAAAAATTTTTGGAAAAAAAAATGTAAAAAAATAAAAATAATAATAATAATATGACTCAAAATAAATTAAAAATTAAAAATTAACTTTTAATCAAGTTTTCAAATTGAGTAAAAATAATTTAAATAGTTTTTTTTTAAAAAAAGTGAAGGAATATGTGTTTTTAACTTTTTCTTTTTAATTATTAATCATTAATTTGATTAAAAAAAAAAAGCATTTATTTTTTTATAACTATTTTAGCCGAAACCCAATTAACAAAGCCTGTGTGATTTTATCAAGAGTCAAAAGAGTATCGCTGGTGTCATCAGAGCATTTACCACACAACATGAGAACCCAGGGCTCGTTTGGTAAGTAGGTTTGGACTAAAATAACCACATACGATAAAATAAATTATTTTAATTAAATAGGATAAAATGCAATATTCAATCCATAATCATTTTATTTTTTCTCTTATAAAAGTCAAAAAACTTATTTCAAACGAGATTTTTTAACTACAAACTAAAATAATCAAAAAAAAAAAAAATCAAAAAATTAACTCACATTCCAAACTAGGTCTCGTATCATAATGACAACGGTCAGATTTTCTCAAATTTTATGCATAAATTCTTAATTTTAAATAAAATTATTTGCACAGTATAATTTCATACTTTACAACTATCCTTATATTTTACCACTACTCTGCCAAACTTTTTTTTTTTTTTTTAACCGAGTTAGGACAAACAGAATTGAGTGTGGTAATTTTACCATCCCTTCAAACATATCATTAAACCAACTTTTCTCTTTCCAATGGCTCCACAAAACAATCAAGATTTTACTCTTAAAATGTGGATACTTTATTGTTGGATCCATACCCCATCCCCCACAATAAAACCTATGGCGAAAGATAAAGAGAGGGAAAAAAAATATAAAAAAGTGCATATAAAGATCTAAACATTTGAAAACAAAAGTTTAATTCTACATCATTGAATCCAACTGAGACATGACCTTTGAAAAGAAAGAAAGAAAGAAAAAAAAGGTAAATAAAGCAAAACTTTGAAAATGATTCAATTCAAATTGCTCCTCTGTTCACATTATTAAAGGTAAAGAATCACCCATTTTCACCTCAATGCTGCAAACTATACCACCAATCAACCCCCATTCCAGAAATGATATATGTATGTTTAATTACAACAATTGTACAAAAAAAGAGCGGGCCTACTGAAGGATCAATCATGTGCTAAAAAATGAAGCATTGCACCGCATCATTTGCCTCTGCATAACACAGAATCATCACCAGGGTCACTATGAAAACAAAAACAATTTCAAAACTTGGTTTCATAAAAAACAAGAAAGTACAAGAAAGTTTAAATTCATTAGTGTACCTTGAGATTGGGTTATGAAATGAATGAATAAAATAGCAGAGAAAAGGTAAATCCGAAGAAAACACGTAAACCCTTGTCCAGTGCACTTGTTTGGGTGCTGGGGAAGCTGATGAAGAATCTTATTGAGTCCGCAGCACTTGCTACAGTTGTTGAGTTCACTACCTCCCTTGTTCTATTGCTTACTTGCTTACTGCAATCGCAAGTATATGTTTCATAAGATAACATTACAAATATGAAAAATGCTATGTTAAATTTCTCTATATCGCTCCAATTTTATGGGATGTAGGTCACCAGTATCAATCCCAAGAAGCACTTAACTTCATTGGGCATCAGGGCTGTGCCCTGTAATTAACCAATGTGTGAGGGAAGGTGAACTGTATGCATCTGAGGACCAGTTAGGCCAAAAGCCTGAATACCCTCGTTACAAAGTAAAAAGTTGAATTACCCTGACCTCCCTTGAAATTTAAAGAAAAAACAACCCCATAGTTTTAACCTAATTATACAGACAACCCTTTAGTAAGATTAAATGGACCAAAATTAAGGTATATGGTGTGAAAACAGAATGATAAAAAAGGTAAAGTATAAATTTCAACGTAAAAGATATGACAACATTATTTGTGTATTCATATATGACTAATGAATTACTCATAAAAAGGGAGACAAGTGTTATATGTAAATTAAAACTTTAAAGGGATCCAATATAATTTATACTAAACTTGTGGAACTTATTGTGTATTTTATTCAACCTGCGGGGAGTTTGGTGTAATTTACCCCAAAATAAAACTATTTTTTATGGAGATGCTCCCATTCATGCCATTGCTCACAAAACTTATTGATAAATGAAATGAATAAGAAACAAAATAAGGGTAGTAACAAAAGCACAGAAATTTGCTGACCTTCCAGGAAATATACAACTCCCGTGACCTGCAAATATTCCCCCACAGAAAACCACAATCAGATCATATTCCATCTCTATCTATTATTGTATGGTGCACAAAAGACGCAGAAATTGTGGAACCCATTTGGATTAACTACATATCTTTGGCACTACTATATTTTTTTTGCTCAACCACTACACATTGTATGCATTTATAGTATGTGCATGAAAATTGACATGGTTGGGGGGAAAATCTCAAATTTTCAAAATAATACTAAAACATGGCATTTACATTTGAGGCAAAGAAAATGGATTCAACTTTGACAATTTTGAAGAGAAAAGTTGTTCAAAATTCACTATCAACCAGGCTGGATGTCCTGATGCAATGACCTTTTATCCACCTTCCATTGGAACAAGAACCAATGAGCTACTACTGTCCAAAAAATGGGCAACCATACAACACATGTTGTGTCTGAAAATACAACTCATGAGGGATTGACTACTTTGTGACTACAGTCTACAGTGGCATAGCATTAACCAAACTCGTTAAGACCCATTAGACCTAAAATGGAATACTATATTCTGTCAAGGTTTTTATGCACGAAACATTTAAATATAAAATTTACTTTATTAAAACATATCAACGTGAAAAACAATGAAATCAGAAAACTAATAATAATAATAATATAGAGAAAACATAACATGTCCCGCAACAAGTTGCTTAAAGTCATATTCACCACTTTTCATGCTAAAATTTTCATGCATATTTTAGCAGACGAAATTTGATTTCAAGATACAATCCAAAATCTCACAGTATTGGAATAATCAAAATATATACGAAAATAAAAAGAAAAAAACTTTTAACGTTTTTCATGTGTTAGATTGTGAAGGGTGATCCTTTACTTGTTGGACTTTTTAAGTGCAGCCAAACAAAGGACATGTCTCTAGCCTTGTGTGTCTTTATATTAAAAGACATAAGCTTTAATTCAAATTTTAAAACTTTTTATTATGTTCCAACATTCTGAACCAAAGGCAGAGGGGTTGAACAAACACTACCCTCTTCCCCTCAAGTCCCTCATAATACCCATCAACCAAATTTAATTTTTAACCAGAAAATTCTAAATTTATATTCATCCAGAAATCCATTATAATCACTGCAATAAGAACTAATTAATGACTAACTACATAGATTTCCCTCAACTTTCTTCAAATCCAAACAGTTTTTTGAGACTAATTTAAGCCATAGTAATTTGGCACTTACTTGGGTCAGTGGTGGTGATCATGGCCACACCCTTGAAGTCACAAGACCCAGCATCCTTCCTTTCCTTCTGATAGTAGCTATCAAAAGCATAAGATGCATGGTTTTCCACATTATTAGGCTGATAACAATTCTCCCCAGGTTGAATCTCAGTACAATTCGCTCTCCCCGGTCCACAAGCCCAATCCAATGCCGCCTGCAATGTCTTCGCATCCACCCCATCAGCGGCAATACAATACGTCTGGTTCGTTGTGTCATTCGCCAAAAAAGTCCCACTCCCAGAAACATGTAACAAGTACACCGGCGTCGAATTCCCATAAAACAACCCCCAATTCGCCTCCGACACGGGTGGTGCCCTCAAATCCTCATTAAACAACTCATATAAATACACACTTGATGTGATTTCAGGGTGCAAAGGAGTTCCACTCCTGTCAAGAACATGTTTGATCAAATTGGAATTATATGTGTCGGCATTGTCAATCGTAGCATATGGTTCTTTTGAATCACCCTTTGAAGGCCACCCAGTTTCAGTAACAAGCACTACAACATCAGTAATATTCAAATTCTTCATAGAAAAGTAAACAGAGTCAATCATAGCATCCAAAACATTCGTGTAGTGAAGCAGAGTATTCGGGTCGACCATTTCTTTGGATGGAGTTAACGGTTTAAAAAGCGAATTATCAAGGGGAACAACCCCTTTGTTCTGCATAAAAACATAGTAAGGGTATAAATTGATCATAAATGGCGATTTAGTTCGGGACAAGAATTGAAGCAATGGTAATACAAACTGGGTCAGGGATTGATTGAAAAAGGCCTGAGAAGGCGGAAAAGGGTCGAGAACTATCGAGGCGGCATGAGGGGAAGAAATTTTGATCTGGGTGTGTAAATTGGCGGCGACGAGGGCGGTGTAGAGGGATTCGATGGCGGTTACGAGGAGGGGGGAGGAGGAGGGGACGGTGGTGAGGACCTCGTCGCCGACGGAGATGGCGGTGATTAGGGTTTCGGGGAAGAAGGCGGCGACGTTGCGGCCGACCCAGGTGGCGGCGGTGGCGTTGGAGGAGCCGATTGCGAGGAGCTGGTTGTTGGGGACGCTGATGATGACCCGGATCTTGGTTTTGGCCAGAGCTTTGAGAATGTCAGGGTCGGCATCGTAGAGTCGGACATGAGTGATCTTCTGCACCTGTAAAAACGCAACGAGGTCCAATGGAGAGAGAAAGTTCGAGATGTCGGTGCCGATGTTGACACCCACATAGGGTTCTTCTTGGTTCTGTTGCTGCTTAATCTCTGCAAAGAAATTGAATTCAAATTAGATGTACAAAGAAAGATATTGTTGAAGTGGGTTTTTAATTATTTTGCTTAATCGCTGCAAAATTTTGAAATACAAAGATAGTTGAAGTAAGTAGATATTATTGTGAAGTGGGTTTTTGATTGTTTTACCTGATATGAGCGTGGAGTTTGTGAAGAAGGGGTTGAAGATGAGAAAGAAGAAGAGGAGGAGGAGAGAGAAGAGGGGGGTGAGATTAGAATTCGCCATTAACGAGAAGGTTGAGGTGTGATTGTTTCATCTTCTGGTTCTGGTTCTGGTTCGGTTAATCCACGCATTGTGTATGGAAATCTTTTGGTGGGTACGGAGGGTTTTGACTCCAGGGATGTAGTACTGTGCTGGTTCGAGTGGTTGAAGAAGAAAGAAGGAAGAAGAAAGGAGAGAGAAACATTGATGGTGAGTATACAAACCCGTGTGTTGTGGAAGTTTTCAGTAGATCTTACTCTCTGTTGTGTGGCTTAATGATGATGCACAGAGAAGGGCCTATTATTACACCAATATTAGGTAGTCCAAAAAAACACATGGTTCGAGACTTGAAATACTTATTTTGGGTATAAAATGATATTATTTTGATAGGTAGGGGTTTTGGTCCAATCTAAAATCGGATTGGATCGTATTATTAGGTTCTTAGAAGCTTATTACGGTTCTCGTTTTGATAATTTGAATCGTTCAATGTGTAAAACTCATCGAGTACTATATGCCTGTAAAAAATCACGTTGATCGGATTTCGATAGCTATGTGAACAAAACAGTTTTTTATCAACCGTTAATTGTTTCACCGTCCATTTTTTTATACAAAACTGATTTGATCACATAGTTATTGATATCCGATTAACGTGATTTTTTATAAGTATATAGTACTCGACGAGTTCTATACATTCAACGGTTCGGATTATCAAAACGGGCCAAAAAAATGGACCCCATAGGCCGAACTAGGGGTGAGCAGCGGATATACCGATCCGCCAAAACCGACCGAACCGAACCGATCCGCCACATTTTGGACGGATGCGTGATGACGAGCGGACGGTTGCGGATTGATTTTCTCAAATCCGCCAATTTGGCGCGGATTGGAGGTTCCGTGGCCGCAACCGACCCGCGCCCACCCCTAGGCCGAACTAAACAGGTCCAGTCTTAATCTCAACTTGAGACAAGCTGGACTCATTTTGATATATTTAAATCATTTAAATTATAAAAATTTGGGCCATTAAATATTTTACTTATTATTATTATTGACATAATATAAATTGTAAAATTTTAATTTTTAGTTTTATTAAATTATACTACCGACAGCAAAAATGGAAGTACCTCTTGCACTTTCTACCTTCCTTTTTTCGGGATTTAAAAAAAAAAAATTAAAATTTTACTTTTAGAGGAACATCTTTAAATCAAAAATTTTATTAAATTTAAATAAAAATTTGATAATAATTTTAATTTGATATCGTTCACTTCAATATTAAAAATTAAAAAGTTCTCCAACATTGTATTATTTTTTAATATTTATTTTTTAAAACTTATTAATGTTTTATAAGGTTGAGGTGTGATTGTTTCATCTTCTGGTTCTGGTTCTGGTTCGGTTAATCCACGCATTGTGTATGGAATTTTTTCAAAGAAATTGGCTAAAACATAAAGAAATTTATGAGCAAATCAGAAAAAATTAATCAAAATGTAGAGAAATTTGTGAAAAAATCAAAAAAATTTAATCTAGAAAATTTCAAAACACAAAAAAATTAGAAAAATTGAACAAATTAGAAAATTTTAAACCAAAGAAATTTAAAATACAAAGAAACTGAAATTTCTTTAAAAAAAATGTTATGAGACCCCACCATTATAAAAATATTATATATATTTTATTTTATAAAATCTTAATATCAAAGATCTTAAAAAAAAATTTCCAAATAAAAATTAATTTATACAAAAATGAAAAATAAAAAATTCATTCGCATTCAATCCATCAAGTCTTCCGTTTTTACGGTTACACAAAACACAACGACCTTTTTTTTTTTTTTTTTTTTTTTTTTTTTTTTTTTTTTTTGTTGATGGTAATGATGTTGAGGGTAATGTTTTACATTTCCATTTGTGCATGTGGGTTGTGTAAAGTGGTCAACGGTGGATTGTTTTACAGTTGTTAATGTTGTTTTTCTTGTAACGTGGTAATTATTTTTCTGGATTGTATCACGTCAAACACATTTATTAGTTATATAACCATTGCGATGATGATATGCAATTACACATAATAAGTTTGATAAAAAATGACAATCTACACGAGGTCTACACAAACCACTTGTACTCACATTTGTCAAATGATCACAAACCAGTACATGATGACAATTTCGGTCTACATCGTTACACATAAACAATTACAATCTTATTAGGCTTACTTCAGGTAATGTTATTAATTTTCCTCCAGGTGGGGCAAATTTAACTTAGAAAAAATAGCAGGGATGTACTCCACATTTCCCTAATAATGCAACAGGGGAACACCATAGTACTGTAGACACACTTCAATTTTCACACAATGTAATTCCACATTAAAACAGAATTAACAAACACGGGAAAATATTGCAGCACATGTGTCGGCGTAGCTGTGAAATTAACATGCACGAACATCTATCAACTAAATGAATATCATACCTCCAACTCGGGCATTTTTTCAGTTACAAATCGACAACATAACATCAACATACATGATTCACTCCTAAAATAATAACCATAACTCATACCAACAAAATTCCCATTACTGTGATTTTCAGTTGTTACATACGTCACTGTACCAACAAGAAACAACAGAATACCAAACATAATCTTACACATATAGTGTGACTCCAATGTAACATTGAATCTTTACAACATAATTTTACCCAAATATAGCATTGCACATTACATTAACAACATAGGGCATGTAATGACGAAAGTAACCCATACAACAACAATGTGGAATTCGATGAAACAAATTGGAACAGGCAACCAAGTTGACGATTGACCGCTAAAATATGAACACGATGTTCTCTCATAAGTCTTACGTTTGCACACTATACTACCTGCAATATTGTTACCTTTACATTATTAGGCCATTTGCCGCCATCGAAAAAAAAATAAATTAATTAAAAACAATGAACTACCCATCCTAAATATTACCACGACCATCACACAATATCATCTACTTGCTTAAGTTGTTATCAACGAAATTGTAGCATACAATACACATTACAAATGTAAAAAAAATACAATCACACCTGAAAGCTCAACCACCGGGGCATAACAACTTGAAACACCATCGACATCAGTACCAACAAATAATATACCGCATGGTGATCACTTACAAACACATGCATGCATGTCATTAATCATTAACAAAGCATTGACATATCGCACAATGCAAAACCAAAGTAATTATGGCCATCTTCACCAAAAAAATGACCCCACCATTTAAAAATTGTTCGCTTAGTCAACGTAACTGCCATTGTATTACAAGAACATGTACACCACCCACAACACATTCACAAATTCACAGATGTAATTAACAGGTCCAAATGAACTGCAACACAACTATATTTGGATGATTCGACTTACGGAAATCATTAAGGTCACTATGAACTTAAATGTCATTCAAAACAATCAATGTATCACTACGTGTAATGTCAACTAACATGCATTCCGCGAACAGGTCACACATTATTACATTTACATATACAATCGTAACTACAGTAAAAATAGAACCCAACCACTTACCGACACTATGAAAAAAATCCCACTACCCAAACATGGACATTATATGCACTCCACAAAATTGCAACCACATATACAATTGTAAAAATATGGGACGCATTGTGTCAATACAACAACTTAACACTACAATGACACCACCATCAAATTGACAGCAATTTATGATCACACAACACACACATCGCCACAACATCAAACAGAGGTTTTTTCCAAATGTAAAACTACCCAGAATACAACCCAAACATTCCACGACTATACCACTTCGCAAATCCAAACCCACCCAAACATTACAATCAAACAACATCAAAGACAAAGAAAACATCACTAACTACCCATCATATACACGCACATACTTTAACATTAACCACATATACTCATACACCCTAAAGAGAATAATCCATAATAACTAGTGGAATAAGAAGTCGGATGAAACAGACCTAATACCATCATTTACCAACACAATCAAAGGCGCAGATGATGGGTGGTGGTTAACTTCACGCCGCCGGCTGTCACGACACGAATGGCAACAAAGACAGCAAACTTACACAGCCCCACTCACTTCTAACGGTTCAATGTTACAACATATCAAGTGGAGTGTTGTATTTCTAGGGTTTGGGAGGGAAGCCAAATTTTATCTAGGGCAACCACGAATAGCAAGCTAACATTCCCAAATCAATGAACACTACAAGAACATTTACAGAGTAACATTTTCAACTCCAAACATTGCCATCTACATTTCTTTCTGAATGATCGGCTGGAAGGGAAATCCTAAAAACTATACAGTAGGCTTTTGTACAAATTTGTAAAATTAGCATCACCAAAACCCTCATTCTACCCCTACGTTTCCGAAAACCATATGGTGGGCCAATGTACAAAAGGGTCTTTTACATTGAAATAAGACTTATTAATCCACAAGGAAAAAAAGTAGGACTAAATGGTTTATAAGACATAAATTTGAAATTTATTGATACTTTACCCAATTATAGATACTGTGTTAAAAGTTAAATACATTTTAATAAAAGAAAATCAAAGTATAAAATTTATTTACGTATTTGAGAGAGAGAGAGAGAGAGAGAGAGTGAGTGAGGTACAGTGTGTGCAAGTGTGTCAGTGAGGGGGAGAGTGATATGAGAATTGAGAGAAGAGTGGGAGAAAAAGATAAAAAAAATTCCCTATAGTTTGGGCGAATTACACTAACAGTCCCTATAGTTTGGGTTGCGTGTCACTTTGGTCATTGACTTTTCAATTGTGACACATTTGACCTTGAATTTTGAATTTTGAATTTTGTTCCAAATAAGGTTAATTAAAGACCATTGCTCAATTTCAATGGCAAAGTCGTCAATTTGATATAATATAAACTAATTTGACAAAATAAATGTTAAAAAAAATATTTTTGAATTTTTAAAAAATTATTTTGACCCACTAAAGATAAAATTATGTAAAATTGATAAATTTTTTACGCATTTATTTATCTATTTATTTTACTAAATTAATTTTCATTATGTGTTTGGATGATGATTATGTAATGGGTGGTTGTTAGGCTTCTAATGTGTAATCAATATATTTAATATATGAAAGCACCATTGAATCCTGGTTTTGAAAATGTTAAACCATTTAGTCCTTTATGTTTTTTTAAAGACAAATAGATCCAATTTCATTGTTAAAGACTTTGCAGCCCATGTTTTTATGAGGTACGTGTCTAAAATTAAGGGTAAATACGGGTTTTTGTTGGTGTTTAATTTACCAAAGTGTC